AAACTGTACTGTGCATCGGTTCTGGTCCAGACATTGGGCCAGGTAGAAGGTATACAATGATGAATACAGCAGGTGCAATATCTACCCTCACAGACCTTTAAGCCTATGCTAGGAACACTGATTTCAATAAGAAATCATATGGTGCTATAAAAGAACAGCTTGTCCTAAAAGAAAATGACAGAAAGGACATTTTGTCAAAGAGGGTCAGGTAAGGTCTGAAACCTGAGAAGGAGCCAGGTATGAAAATAATAGTTCTCAGGGTGCCTGGGTGGCTCAGTCAGTTAAGCATCCAACTCTTGATTTCGGCTCAGGTCGTGATCTCAGGGTCCTGAGATGGAGCCCCATGTTCGGCTCTGCACTAGGCGTGGAGTCTACTTAAGATTCTCTTTCTCCCTCTCCCTCTGCCCCTCCTTCCTGTGTGCTCTCTCTCTAAAAACAAATAAATAAATAAATAAAAATTCTCACAGAAGGAACAGCAGCATGTGGGAAGACCCTGAGGTAGAAAATGAGCTTGTCGCAGTGCAGGAAGTAAGAGAACATCCATGTGGCTGGACAAGAGGAAGGGTGATAGGAAACAAACTGGGAGAACAGGCATGGGCTCAGCCATGCAGAGCCCTGTAAACCGTCATGAAGGTTTGTACTAATCCCTAGGGCAACCTGGGGCCACTGGAAGACTTTGAGCCAGAGGATAATATAATCACTGTGGTTGTGAAGTGGATGGATTAGACGGGGGACAGAAGAGAAGACGAAAGTACAGTTGGTTTGGATATTTTGGATTTGGGTGCTGAAAGTGGAGGTGGACACACAAATGGGAGAATTTACGATAAATTTCCAGTGGAAAATTGAGAAAATCTGGAGATGAACTGAAGGTGGAAAACAAAAAAGAAGAGGTGTCATGAACTATTCTGAAGCTCAAAGTTGAGCAACTAGCGGAATAGTAGAGCCATTTACCAAGAAGAGGCATGAAGTGTCCCCCTGGGGGAAGTGCCAAGATCTGTACATTTGTAGAAATCTCCCCCGTGATTCTGATGGCTAGCCCTTGTTGAGAAGAGGCAACCTAGAGAGGCTGTATAAAGAATAGTAGTCAAGTTTAATAGCTAACCATCATATCTTTCTTTGGAGGTGCTTTGCCTTGTTCAAGTCTTATCACTTCCCTGCTATATTACTGGACAAGTTGGTTTCTTCATCTATAAAATGAAAATAATAATAGAACCTGCCTCATAGGTGCCATAAAATGGTCATCTTAAAAAACATTTGGAACACTTTCAAGCTACCATTTTTAGATCAGTTGAATAAACCCAGTGTTTTCACATCTCTGAGGTCTTGCCCTGCCCTTTCCTTGATGGATTCATCTCTTTTTCCACGTGATGATTTCCTATATTCTTCATGGATAGCTTTCCTTGAGTACTCCTCCTACCGCCACTGACCCCAGCCAATCATCTAGGCCATTTCTCTTGCTTGCATGATCGCAGAACTTAACACATCATATTAGAGTTATACTTATTTGTTTTCTGAAAAAGACTCAGGACTCCTGGAAGTAGCTGGCCTTATCTTATACAAATTTATACCCACAGAAATTAGTCTGATGTCATGGCTCGAAGCCCAGAATGAGTTTGTTGGATTTAAATGAATTTAGCTAAATTAAAAGCAGGATACTCTTAGGGAATGCATCTCACAAACTAAGTCTCTTGTTTAATTATACAGTATCATATGGATGCAGACACAGCAAGTTACACCCCAGGGATATAAAAAATTCACCCTGTCTATTTAGGCCCAACTTTAAGCCTAAACCAGTCATGCCAAACATAACACCTTTCTTATCTACCTCTCACCTCTGCTTTGTTCTTCCTGAGCAATGTGGGGCCCATGTCTTTCTGTGGAACAGAAGAAGGGGGAAGGGGGGTGTGGAGGAAGACACACTCCTACAACTTTACAAAACTTTCCTTCACCCCTTAATGAGGGAAAGAAGGTAGAGACAGAGCTGCCACTGCATGTGCCGGAACAAGCATGCTCAGGCTGGTTTGAGTCCCTTCTTACCATGTGGTCTGGTGTAAAGAGTCCAGATATCAGTAGGCAGATACCAATATTAATACTGTACCAAAACACCCTGGAACAAACTTTCTAGTAGGACCTGTGGTTTTTACCACGCTCTTGTATGGAAGCACAACTTGGTCTCCTTTATGCTAATGCTTCTGGAGTCTTCAAACCCCAGAAAATATGTGTGACATACTGACTGTGCATTTTAAACCAAAATAATTTCAGAATTTGGTCTCTCTCATGCTAAGGTTGCTAAAGCCTTCAATCTCCAGAAAGTATGCCGGAGGTACTAGTCATGCGTTTTAAACTACAGTAATTTGATAAAGGGTTTGAATTCCTAAGGGAAAAGATGAAAGAACTTTTTACTCTACCTTTTAATCTCAAGGCAAATGGGCAGAGCAGGAGACAGTTTGACATGTACAAGCAGATAGTTTTTGGAGCCAAACAGACTTTGTTCAAATCCTGATTCATTCACTTTTTAGTTCTATGCTCATTAGAGTTGTTAGTAATAATTCTAATAGTAATACTAACACTTATATGTGTTTACCACATCACATACTGTTTTATGTGCTTTATATACAGTGACTTAATCTTAAGAAAAATAAAACCCACAAGGAAGACACTACTATCATCTTTTCCAGTGAGGGAAACTGAGGCACAGAAAGGTTGAGTACCTGGTACAAGCTATAGGTAACAGTAAAGCCAGGACTCAAACCCGGGAAGTGTAGCTCTAAACCCATGCAGTCTGTCTCCGGATACCTACGCCTATACCCACTGCATTTCCCTGCCCCCATGTACTTCAGGAGCCCATCACTGGACTCTCAGAACCCGAGCTTCCTTGTCTGTAAAAGTGGGTCTAATGAGGCTGAACTCAGTGAGGCCTGAAGAAGACAATGTAAATTGAACCTCAGACACCAAAGGGGCACCCATACTAGGTCAAGTGCCTTTAATTTCCAACTTGCTCGTAAGGTGTTATCAGAATTCTAGGTAAATTCTAATAAAATTCTAATAAAAGAATATAGAGGGCCTATGGACAACAAACATAATGGCTGGAATGGACAATTTAGAGGTCTTAAAATTTGAGTTTCCCGAACTCAAATTGATTCAGAAGGCAGTCTCTGAAGCCAACTATCTCAACACTTCTAAATAAACTGTGGCTTTTACTGACAGAAGTCCACCAACAGGTAATGACCAGCAGAAGTAAGAGTCCAAAGCTTGGAGAACCCAGAGTGAGACCAATTGTTTAGAGCTGGAGGGGCCAGTTAGAAAAGTCCTTGAAACATGATCTAGGAAGAGAGGAGGAAAGGCCAACGTTGTGAGAGGAATTTGCATGATCAAAGGCACTGAGGCATGAGAACTCTCTTCACACAGGGTTAGCGAAGGGGGAGTGGGCTCTGAACAACAGCAAGAGTGAAGGAGGCCTGGGAGGTAGAAGAAGCTCTGGCAGGCCTTGAATGTCACATGACGGACCGCAGGCTTGACTCTGTGTGCCACAGAAGTCATCAGGGGTTTTTTAAAGGAAAGGACATCCTCAGACCTGTGCTTTAGCAAGACAATTTGTGTAGTGTTGTGTGTAGGTTAAAGTGAAGAGCACAGGTATGAGGGAGACCGATTTTGAGGGAGACAGTATAAGGAAACATTTGATTTTCTCTTTCACCGATATAATAAAATACACACCAAAATACACCAATATATTAAAATCTTAAGAGGGAAGGGCCAAAAGTTGTCACTGGACTAAAAATAGAAATATGGGATTACAACCACTAAGGAAGACCAAACTAAAAAACTGTAGTTGTTAACAAACTGCCACATAAAATTTCAGATGTGCAAAGAAAGGCAACTGTAGAATTACGCACATATTTCCACCAGATAACGGAATCTGGACAAAGTACGTGAAGTAAGCAGAGAAGTAAACAAAATGTTCAAAGCTCAAGAAGTGCCTTTACTTTTCACCAAGGAGGGCCAACGTTGTTTTCTCTGAAATCAGCTTTCACATGCCCTTGAAGAGAAGCTGATAGAGTGTTGTGGAAAACTCGACTTCTGAAATCACAATGAAAACTGCAACTCAACCCAAGCAATCTGGTACTATGTGAGTACATAGTGACTCACACACCCAAAAAAGTGGAGTGAAAGAATGTTTCAGAAGAGTCAAGTGAGAGCAGTAGAAAAGAGCATGCCACTTCCCCACCAGCCACATTTGACCTGAGGGGATGGGCGCTGGGAGATTGAATGTGGTTGTCCACACTGGCCAGTGATCCTCCCACAGAATCCCAAACTAAACACCATTTCTTCAAGGTCTCCCTCCTTTTAAGTTGTAGGTCCCCTATTAAACATCCTTCCCCATATTCATCATCCTCAATACTTGTATGGGTAATTAGTCTAAGTGTTTTTCTCAAACATGGCCTTTTAACTCATCTTTAAATATTTTATATATGCATACCTTATTTCCTCAATTCAACTGCAAACATTTTTAAGATGGGAATATTTGGGTATCTTTCTGTAATTTTATCATCATGGCTTACATGGCATGTAAAAGTTAAAAACAACAAAACAATAGTCACAATAATAGCTAAGACCTTTTGAATGCCAACCATGTGCTCAGCATTGTTGCTAGAGCTGCACATGTATTAACTCATTTAATTACATTAACTCATTACAACAAGTACGTGAGGTAGCTACTGTCACCGCCCCCAGTTTACACCTGAAAAAAACTGAGGCATGGGAAGGTTAGTTATGTTTACCACACTCATATAGCCAGTAAGTGTATGATCTCACATAGTCTGACATCAGAACCGTGCTCTAATGTACCCTTCAATATTTTTTTCCTTGAATTCAAATTCCAAAAGGAAAACAGAAAAAAAATGAAAATCAGAGGCCCTCGTTAGGAACTACAGACAAGATTGGATCAGGAAAGGTTTGGCTTTTTAAAAATGTGGGTAACAATCTTCCTATGATCTCTGCAGATTTTGTGACCCATCCTAGTCCAGGGTCATCTTTGACATCAACATGGCCTCCTAGACCTCTGCCCCCACTGCAATGCCTTTATCCTAATGTGCTGCCACATACTGGGATCTGAAGATAATGTGAGTATAGTAGATACAGTGGTGGTAAGTAGAAGAAGCACCCCAAATAGAAAACATACCCATTCCTAACTGAAACTGTGACCTCTTCTCTCACTTTCTGGTTAGCTCATAGCTGTGACTGGCCAGTGAGAAGAAGGAGGAGGAAGGACTTCAATGACCCAAGAAGACTTGAGAGCAGAGAACAGAGCAGCATTAGCCTGGCACTTTTCTTTGGTACCAAGTCCCCCTGTCAACCACTGCAGTAAGTACTCATCTGCCTTTGGGTCCTGTTAGCCCCCACAGCAAACCCCACTGGAAAGTAGGGCTGAGCTGTGAGTGCTGTAGGTATTGTCTCCATTCTGTCCTGGTCCTTTGAGACGTTGTGTTTCTATGGGGTCTACTCATTGTGTTTCCACTTTGACTTCTCCAATATCGAAGATATATTGGCTTCTCTCCAGCTCTCAGGTCTCAGAATACTCTCTTCTTTAGTTCTATCCCTATGATCACTTGTTGTCCACTTGACCAGCTACCCAAATTCTCATGAAAGGAGAGTTTCACAATAGGTAATATCACATCAGAATACAAACTGTAGAACAAACTGCACCTTTACTCATTCTTACCCTTATCATACCCATCACTTACCCTTATGTATCAGGCACAAGGCTTATTCTGGGCATAACTGGGGTAGGGAGATTGTTAAGCATCTGAGGTCCTGTTTGGTAGGCCTTCAGTAATGACATGAAAAACATCACATCAGATCGTTGTCTAATCTGTTTACAAAGTTTACAAAGATGGCTACAACAATTCGTCCAATTCTTATGTATGTGCCTCCTTGCAATGTAACTTTGTCACCACTCCCATTAAGACATAGAGGCTATTTCCCCTCCCCTGGACTATGAGATGGCCCTGTGACTTCACTTAAGCAGAAAGGGCATCAAATGACTTCAGATCCTTGGCTTTAAAAGGCCTTCCAGCCTTTGCTCTCAGGCTCTTGCTGCCTTGAGACTACCACATAAGGAATCCTGGGCCAGACTGCATGAGGATAAGAGACCATTCCCAGGCAACAGGTAGATCCAACCTCAAGACATGTGAGGGAGGCCCTCCAGCCTCGGTTGTGCTGCCAGATGACTGCAGCCAAATCAGTGACCCCAGGCAGGCCAGCAAAAGAATCACCCAGCTGAGCCCTGCCCAAACTGCTAAAACAGCAATTTATGAGCAGAAAAAATAAATTTGACAAGGTTTGTTTTGAAGAAACAGCTAATTGATAAAACCTCCAAATGAAAATTGAGACAAGAAACAAATACCTCATATATTACCATGATACAACATACTATCTTTTTAACAATCACCTTTAAAGTTTTATATATTGTCTAACTGCCCTTCCACTATTATTCCTCCTACACACACACACACTCTCTCTCTCTCTCTCTCTCTCTCTCCAATCTCCCACCTGCCCTGTTCATCTCTTTTGGGCATCTCATTTCTCAGTGTCCATATCGGTGTATTGCCAGCTCAGTTTTGTTTTGTTTTTTTAATTAGCCCCTTTCCCATAGATCTAGCTCCTCCAGTCTATGAAGAGTAGCTATCGCTTGCTATGTGTCAGAGACTGTTCCTCACAATCACCTTATGAGGCAGAGCCACCATTTTTCTGCTTATTTTATATATGAGAAAGCTGAGGTCTAGTAGGTTAAGTCTATTCTAAGTCCCAGAGCGAGTCATGAGTGAAGAGGTAGGATGTGAATCCAAGCAGGAAGGCTCAAGTCTATGCCCTTAAGAACTACACTCTGCTGCACTACACTCTCTCGTGGCCCCCAGGCACTCCCCCCGCCTTATATGTTCAAAACAAAAATCATCATTCTCGTCTCCCAAATCTCCTATTCCTCCCGTTCCCTACTCTGATAACGGATTACCACTTACTTACATGCCCAAAAACACCTCCCCCACCTTTGAGGAGAAACCACATCATATGGAATCATGCTCTCTCATCCACCTCCCTACCACCACCTCACATCAGGAGACCATGGTATTTATCTTACACAATTGCAAGTAGGCTTGTTGCTAGTGTCCTTATCTGTGATTGAAAGGGTCAGCAATTTTCCTTTTTCCTTTTTCTTTCCCCCAATCCATGTCTACATCACTACTAAGAAGAATATACATTCTCAGCGGAATAGCTTACCTTGAGAGGTACAAGATAATTAGCCACAGTGGTATGATTATGATTGTGTGTGTAATTGTGTGTTTGCAGGGGGTGTTACTTGAAGACAGGCTAACCAACTCATTCCAGTTTACCCCAGATTTTCCCTATTTTAGCACTGAAAGTCCTGCATCTCAGGAAACTACTCACTCCCTGATCTACAAACCGGACGACGGTCACCCTTCTTGAGGGAGATGTTTAACTAAGTGATTGAATGTAGGAGGTTGTGCTGATATCCTGCCTCCAGTGAAGCCAGCTGGAGTTGTGGCTTTTCTCTTCTTTTCACGAAATTAAATGGAAAGAGAGGAGATGGTCATACCACCAATTTCATAAACTCTCATTTAGGTCAACATAGCAGCAGCTTTTGAAACAGATGACTGTTCTTTCCTTCTTAAAATATTTTCTTCACTTGGTTTCCAGCATTACACTCTCTTGGTTTCTTCTAGTCTTAATTTCTCAATCTCCTTTGATGATTCCTCTCCCGTCATCTAATTATTGGAAAGCCCCAAGTTTCTATGTTTGGACCCTATGATTTTCTCTGTTGGTATTCATTAGATAGGTGACTTTATCTAGTGAACCCTAAAGTTCACAATCAATTTTAGCATAGATATAGGGTCAAAGAAAGATCAAAATGTCACCTCTATTACAGGTTTTTGAAATATTTATATTGCAGAACATAATTCCAGGCAAAGCTCAATTCTGTTAAACCATTGCATGTGGTGGTTCTTGTCCTTCTGCCTGGAACTCTGTAGAACTATTTTTCCCCTTGAGTCACAGGGTAACTAGACTTGCTAATATTTTGCTGACTACCTCATTCAATCATAGGAACATTTGTATAACCACAGGCTTCTCCCAGTGCAAACTGCATCTTGAAAAACTCACAACCTGAAAGATTAGAAAATGTATACTCTCTGAAGGCAGACATCCCAAAAAGATACCAGAAAATTAATGAAATTTGATTCTTTCTCCCAAACTCACCAATCAAGTTATGTCAATACTCCTCCTAGGGAAGTGGGACTCTGAAAACAGTGAGAAGTCAGGACTGTAACACTAATGGAGGTTCCTCATAGGAACACAGAAACCAGGTATATGTGTTCTCCCTATAATAGATATCATGTTTATGCTAATACCTTTCCATTACATCTCCAGCTTCCATCTCTTCCCTGAGCTTATATATCCACCTGCCTACTCAGCCTCTCTGCTTGGAAGTCTAATAGACATTTCAAACTCAACATATCTAATAGAGAATTTGATTATTCCCCCCCCCAACTATCTTCATTTCTGTATTGTTTGCTAGGTTTTCTAGGGTAGTATTGCTGCCACAATGAAATACCACAGGCTGGGAGGCTTAAACAACAGAACTTTGCTTTCTCACAGTTCTGGAGACTATCAGTCTAAGGTGCCAGCATGGTTGGTTTCTCCTGAGATTCTTCTGCTTGGCTTGCAAATGACCACCTTCTTGCTGTGCCCTCACATGCCTTTTCTCTATGTACACACATTGCTCTTGTCTTCCTCCTCTTATAAGGACACAAGCCCTGTTGGATTCCAGCCCCACTTTTATGACTTCATTTAACCTTAAATTCCTCCTTAAAGCCCCTGTCTCCACAGATAGTCACACTGGGATTTGGCTTTCAATACAGGAAGTGGGGTTGAGGAAAGACACAATTCAGCCCATGACTAACCCTTCCACAGTTGTCCTCCATTTCAGGAAATGGCACCACCATTGACCAGTTGCTTTGGCCAAAACCTTAGGAATCATGTAGGCTACCAATTTCCCTCACACCCTATATCCAGCTCCTTAGTCAACTCTACCAATTCCACATCCCACCACCTCCACTACAGACTCCAGGTTCAACCATCATCTTGTGCCTGCTCTACTGCAGTAGTCTCCTGACCGGTTTTTATTGCTTCCTTTCTTGCCCTGCCACAGTCTACTTTCCATATATCCACTAGAGGTATCTTTAAAAGTAAGTTAGATATCATTACCTCCCTGATTTCAACACCCAAATGGCTTCTCATTATACTTAGAACAAAACCTACCATCATCCACTCCGGCTTACCTCTGTCCTTATTGCAGATCTGCATGCACTCTCTTAAAAAAAAAAAAGGAATATTATGAAGAACTTTATGCCAATAACTCAACTTTAATAAATGTATTGAACAGCATGAGCTACCATAGCTCATTCAGGAAGGAAGAACTAGATTTTGAATAGCCCTGTATCTATTAAGAAATTAAATCTACTTTTTTTCTGCTTTAAGATTTCTTTCTTTCTTTTTTTCTTTTTACTCTAATAAAAAGGCAAGAGTAAAAAAAAATTTCGGGGGTACAGGTCTGTGATTCATCAGTTTTATATAATACCCACTGTTCATTACAACATATACCCTCCCCAATCTACTTTTTAACTGCAATCTGTTAAAGAAGTTGAATGAAAATCCTTTCCACAAAGAAAATTCACTGGTGAACTCTACCAAGCATTTAAGCAAGACAGAATATCTAAACAAACTCTTCTAGAAAACTGAAGAGGAGGAAATACTTTCCAACTCATTTTCTGAGACTAGCATTAGTTGAATACCAAAACCAGGCAAAGATAGTAATGAAAAACTAAAGACTAATATTCCCCAGGAGCACAGATGTAAAAATCCTTAACAAAACTTTAGCAAGTTGAATGTGACAATACAGAAAAAATGCCATAGCTCAGGACCAAGTGGGGCTCATCCCAGAAGTACAGTGCTAGAAGAAGGACAAGAAGGCCACTGTGGCTGGACTGAATAAGCTGGGAAGTGAGAAGAAATCTGAGCAGGAAAAGGAAGGAGATCATAAGGCCTGGGCATATGTTCCAAATCATCTGACTTAATTGGTTCCAATGACCCTGAACTAATAAACAGGCAATTCTAATGATAAGCACTTGAGACCCTTTTATAGGCAGACAGGGAGGATTTGGGGGGTAGAATAAGTATCACAGAGAATTGTCAACCTAAGGATTTGGATTTTCAATCCCTGGGAAAGGTACCTGGGAAGCCATTGCAGGGTCTAGAGCAGAAGAGTGATATACCATCATTTGTGTTTTAACGGTCTATTTTGTTGAGAATATATTTTCATACAGTAAGGTTAGAATCAGGGAGACCAAATAATAATATGTAAAGCAAAGTATTTTGTAAATAATAAACAAGTCAATATTAATAATCAGTATTGCAGTAACGGTCATTGTCTTGGTATACCATTTCCGACAAGCTGCTCTACATAGACTTCTTATAAATAAGTCTTTTGATAAAATACATTTTGGTGGGGAGGGCTCTCAGAGGAACGTGGGGAACCCTGCTTGGATGTGTACTGAAGTACAATGAAGCTAGTTGTTCACTGTCAGAAACAAAATGTCATGCTGAATGACAGGACCCTAGAATAATATGGCATTCCTTAATGTGATATGCTTGGTCCTGACTTGATTGTGATGGCCAGAAATATACAATATTTAACATTATTCCAAAGAGCTGGTCTCCTGTAAACCATCCACCTACCGTCATTGTTCCCCTGACTGATGGTCAGAGACCTCTTGTAGGGTTTAATTCCTACTTGTGCCAGAGTAATCCAGAAGAAGCTCCATCCACTACTGAACACAAAATTCTCCAGGGCCTAAGAGATTGGATATATTTATCTACAATGGCCAGAGACAATTTAAACCTTTCAGGAAGTAAAGAACCAGAAAGACTGAGAAAATAGAGCCAAAGCTACAAAGAGGTAATTGGAACCAAAGATCAAGTCCAAGATGTGAAGCACCAGTGGGTGACAAGCTTATGTTGAGGAGGAGTTGGAATCAGGATTGTGTTCATGGGTAAGGTTGTGAATATGGAATACACAATAGAGCTTTCTTTTACAAAGAATCTGGAATATGTTTGAGGGTGGGGTGGCCATTTGTACTAAGTGGTTTAAAAAAATGTATATAATCCAATAATGCCTAATTTAGTGCTCTACATCATAATGATTTAATTCATTTTAACACTCTTAAAAGAATAATGCAATGGCGAGAGTCTATGGCTCCTTTGTGGGTGAAGAGAGACGATTTTTTTTGAAGGAAGTACCCTGTAGAGAATTATCAACCCCATCCACATATAAAGTCAATTCTGACACGTAAATGTTTTTCACAGGTAGACACTGCAGTTTCTATTTAGCACATGGGCCTTCCACCTGGGAAAGTCCAGCTTGGCGATGACATTTCGGTCCAGCTCACAAAGTTTACCTATTGGCTGCTGTGTGCTTATAGTGATATTTTCTAAAGCTAAGAATTATTTGGAAAACAAAAGTGATGAGCCAACTAACCCACATATGTCATCTTGAAATCTTAGGAGGAAATTCTGCCTACAACACATATACACACGCACACAACCAGATTTTAATATTTGATTTTCACCAAGTTCTATTAAATGGCTTTGAAATGTTTGAAACGTTATCAAAAATCTCCAAGAAATCTTTATTTCAGTATTTTTCTGACAGAAATGTTTGTGAAATAAAAACATTTTTCTTTTATTCATTTATATACTCACTGAATAAACACTATTGTCCATGCTCAATAATTAGCACTCAGTTTATAACAATGAAAAGCATAGGTTCCTGCACTCAAGGACTTCAGTTTAGTGAAGGAGAGAAGCGTATGCAAGTAGCTACAACTCAGAGACAAGCTGATCAGAGAAATATAAACAACTACTTAAGGTTAAAGAGAAGGAAGTGACTAACTGCCAGGGTCTTTGAAGACCAACAAAGAGTTATGCATGAACTGGATCTTGATGGACTGGAAAAAGAGAAGCAGAAAGAATGATAGAAGGAACAAAGCCTGGAGGTATGAAAGAGCACAGTAAGCCTTCTACCACATTGAAGAAGTCTTCTACCTTTTGGTACGCCCAGCATCTAGCACCTAACCCGTAATTAATTGTAACCTGTTGACCTCGTGTCTGTGGCTGAAAGTGATGTGATCATTTTATGCTTATTATGAAATTACGATAGTGATAATGATAATGACAAAACAGGATCTTGCTATAGAGCCTGACTAAAGTGTTGAGGTGATTGTGCGAACCAGTTATTTACCATAGTAATCAACCTGCTTGCATTTTCAATTTCTAAACCCTTCATTATACTCTGATAAGTACTAGCAAATGTTATGGCTATTTGTTGAGTCTGAAAGATTAAAGAAGCTTTTCTTCTTTGACTATAGTAAAGACACCAGTTCTTCCAAAATAAATTTGTATATTCTAAATAATTCCTGTCAAAATTTCAATAATATACACCCATACACACAACTAAATTACACTAAAATAAATCAGAAAAGTAATAGAAATGAAATAAAGAAAACGAGTACAAAAAAACTAAGACTAGACTAATCCTGTCAGATATAGCCTATTATAATATATTCTATAGCCTCTGAAATAAATATGTATTACTGGGTTAAAAATAAACAGAATGTATAGCTCAGAACCAGAACCGACGAAATATAGCACCATGGTATTCAATAAAGGAGACATCATTAATCAATGAGCAAGTGAAGCTTTAGTCAATAGTGCTATCTGAGTCATCAATTAGTTTGAAAAAAAGTTTATTTATAATCTCATTTCATTTCACACACCAAAATAAATTTTAGATAAATTAAGTAAGTAAACATGAAAAATCAAACAACAGAAATTAGTTGAAGAAAGGTAAAATGAATATCAAATGCCTAGAGGCAAAAGGATTTACTAAGCTTGGAAATGACGAAAGACGTAAGGGAAGAAATGAAAGATCACACCATACGAAAACATAAAACTTCAATACAGAACCTGAAAAATCATGAGACTAGGATCAAATTGTGGAAAGGCCTGCTGAAAATATTAAAAACAGTATCTTACTGTTTCATGAACTTATATTACTTGACCAAAAACTCTACAGAAAAAAAGGGGGAGTGGGTGGGAGATACAAATAAATGCAAAATTAACTAAATATGAAAGGGAAATTAAAATCAATTGTATTTATTAATTATAACTAATCAATAGGCATATACAACTTATATTCATCATTAATAACAGAAACACAAAATAAAACACACATATCACTGTATTGCTGATATTTTTGTAACTAATAATATTTGACACAGATGCAGAGATGGTACAGTGGAGAATCTTGATGTTTGCTAAGGGTACTCTCATTACTTTTGTCTTCTTGATTTTTTGAAATGTCTTTAATAATGACATATTACTTTTATAATAAAAAAAGTGACACGTCTGTAATAATTAAGAAAAAGATCTTCTCCAAATTGGTGCTAAAACATAATCCCATACCCCTGGGCCAGAGGGGTTTCAGAATTCCCACTCTCTGCTTGAGAGCGATAGGCTCTCTCAGTAAAGAAGGGTGATTTCATCTATCAGCAGCTGCTGAGGCAGCAGAGTAGAGAAATACCAGTGGTCTATCTGCTCAAAATGCTTAATAACAAAAGAGGTGTTGCTATATAGCCATTATGAGTCAAAGCCAGATTTTTTTTTTTAGAAAAGAACATACAAATAACTGAAACATGTATATCCAGCAGAGATGGATGCTACAGAATTCTAAGCTGTGAACAGTGTGACTGAATCACTAGGAACTTTGCACAGAGGGTCCCCATGTGTGTAAGTGCTTCAGAAAATGTTATCATCTATTTCTCTTTTAAAAAGTTGATGGAGGCATTTGAGTTTATTTCAATAAAGTTTTAAATACTTATAAAATCACTCCATCTCTACACTCTTTGTTGGTAGTGCTGATGGGCAGTGGTGGAAATGTGTTTTGAGGGTGATTCTTGACCGTTCACTGAAATCCACGTGATGGATGAACAGAATGATACATGGGAACTACAAGGTGCTGATGGGACAAAGGGCCAAGAAGTTAAACACAGAGGTTAGTGGGAGGGAACTGTCATGAAGGGTCACAGAAAACTGTGCGTGCTAGTTCATTCCTTGGGCTAGAAACCATTAATGAGTTTCCCCTTGTCCTTCCACCTTGTATAAAACATGTTAGAAATAAAATCAAGGTCTTCTTTTAAAATTAATTCACAAAATTGTTGAAACAGCTACACTGAATAAATTTACATTTCTCTTTTTGCAAAACCTCTTTAGAGACTACTGTCTTGTGCAGCTGTTTTGTAGAATGTATAACCATCAGGACCAGGTCACTGTAACCTTGATGTTAACCCAGGAAGAAGGAGAGAGGGGATGACTGAGGCTGGCCTCCGGGAACCTAATCTACCGTGCAAATCAGTCCTATAAAGTTTAAGTAACCCTACCTTCCTTGGCTTCTAGCCACCTGATAGGATACACAGAGAACTTGCCAAGCTGTGAGTCCTCATGCATCGGCTGCTGGATTTCTCCTCCACTGACCATGGGAATTTCCAGTTCAGGAGTCTGGTGGTCATGCTGTCCCAGACGGAGTGAGAGCAGGAGGACCTGATTACGTAAGTGCTTATATGTTGCTTTCCTTTCTTCCGTCAGAAGGTGGAAAGGTGCTTTAGGAATGGTGATTGATAAAGAATAAGAGTGAAACTAATTTGAACTTGGTTGTAGGAAGGTTTTTCATTTACTATATCCTTTCTGTATCTAACAGGGTTAAAAGAAACCACAACAATTTTCCAACAAAGCTGAAGAAGAATCAACACTTTAAAAAAAAAATCAGAATACAAGTTTATTAAGTGACTTGATATAAAATAAATGAAAATCAATACTTTGTCTTTATAGTAGCATTAACCAGTCAGAAAATAAAAAGAGAAATAGCCAATTCCCCCCATACAGGGTGGGAGTATAGGAAACCTATAAGATTATACTGAGAGACAGTGAACAAAAAAGACATTTTTATAAAGTTAGCACTTCTGCCCAAATTAATCTTAAATGCAATTTCAATCACACTAAAATATTTTTATTTTTTTTAAACCAGATAAAAGTTGTAAGTAAATATAAAAATAAATGTAGGCGATTGCCTGTAAATTTTTATAAAGGAGAAAACTGAGCCAGGCAGGGTGGGACACTTGCTATGTAGCTATTAAGACTGTTTACAAAGGTACTGTGATCAGATTACTGTGATACCCCTGAAGGAAGAGACAAATCAGTAGCATCCAGAAAAAGATCCAGTTACCTATGGTAACTTGACATACAGCAAAATTAACATTTTCTATTTAGTAGGTCAGTCTGCTAGGATTGCTGACCCAGCTAAAAAGGCACACAACTAAATACTAAATACTAAAATTTTCTATATATATCATATATCTGAATATATGTGTATACATATAGACATGCAATTTGTTTTTTTCACTTGCATCTTGGACTTTTGTCATCAGTACATACATCTATCTCTTTCTTGCTTAAAGACCTTTGAATGTAATGATGTAATTCTTTTAGTGGACGTAGGAATTGGGTACAGTTTTTTAAGGATACATTCATAGAAGCATAATTACTAGGCAAAAAGATGTGAGCACTCAAAATATTACAAGTTATTGCTAAATTTCTGGCACAGAATTTTAGAAGAAATTCCTCATGTGGTTTCTTTTTTTAAGGGATTATTTTCAGTTGATGTATGGCGGCTTTAATTTGCCCACTAATCTACTTGATCAAGATAACAAGTATTTAATTAAGCACTTTCTTTGCTTCTGACAGTTAACTAAGGACTGGGGCAGAAGGCATGGGATGGTCAAGGGAGACAATAGAAAGTCTTTACCCTTAAGACTATTTTTTATTTATTTTTTAAATTTTTTTATTGTTACGTTAATCACCATACATTACATTATTAGCTTTTGATGTAGTGTTCCATGATTCATTGTTTGTGCATAACACCCAGTGCTCCACACAGAATGTGCCCTCTTTAATACCCATCACCGGGCTAACCCATCCCCCCACCCCCCTCCCCTCTAGAACCCTCAGTTTGTCTTTCAGAGTCCATCGTAAGACTATTTTTTAAAAAGTAAAGAAAACTTTTTACAGATACTTAAGTACCAAATTGGGTGATAGTGTCTACTACACATGTTTTAAAAGAATCAGAGATAAAGGTTTTTAAAAAGACAAAATTTGGCTATTTTCTACAAATACATTCCCCCAAATGGTTATGACTCCAAATCCATTTGGATCTTAGTATGTATGGTGATTATTATTGATAATGTCCATGATAACTGACTGATGAAAACAAGTTCTTCTATACCTTAAGAAAGTTCAAATCACATAAATGATCCTGAGACAAGCTCTTCAGGGGAAGGAAGGAAGGAATGTACCCAACACGTAACAGGTACTATGTGCCAGGTGCTTCGATTAGAGTCTCTTCTATTTTTTTCACCGCTGGTATGACTTGGAAGGAGGACTCTTTAGCAGCGATTATCTTAAATGAGAGACAGTTCTAGGGACAAAGGAGGACAAAAGAAAAGCTGGCAACTGTAGATCTCCTGTCTGCCTAGCACCGTGCTAGAACCTTGAAGCACACTGTTTTGTTTCACACAGACTACTCTAAAGGGGGCTCAAAGATACCTTCTAACTGGATACCAGGAGAAGAAGTACTAAGGACAGAATGGGATCCTCAGGGACACAGTCCAAAGAAGTTTCCATTTTAGGAACAGAGGTTAAAAGTACAAGAGAATGGCCCTTGGCTGATAGAAGTCACCTTATATACATACACCTGGGAGGTTACCCTAGCACCAACACAACCACCACCTACCCCTACCACTCTCCATCAGCCAATGGCTGACTGTATGGAACACAAAAGGACAGTCTGCCTCAAATCATGATAATTCTACTGTACCCTGTATGCCTCAGAGTCCCCCACTGTTCAGGCCAACAACAGAATTTACCTGTGACTATATCCTCGATGAGCAATGTGCCTATACCTGTTTTGCCTTCCTCTCTGTTATAGATTTTTCCGGAAGAGCACTCTCTCAACAAGTCACTTGGCCTGAATCTGTCTCTGGGTCTGCTTCTAGAGAACCCAACCTAAGATAAAAGGCATTCGGGATCCTCGCCATGTTTCTGTTTATCACATCTAACAATTTCTCATCCTCACAATGACTCTACAAAGTAGGTGCTATTATTCCAATTTTATGAATTGGTATATTAAGATTCACCCCCTGGGCCAGAGTCAGCAAAGAGGCAGATAGATCCCAGAGAGAACAGAAATCAACTGCTTAAATAGTTCCCCAAAAGAAATTCCCAAAGGCTGCCTTTAATAGAGAGGTATCTGGCTATCCCCCTCTGGGGCCATCCATTCTAACTTTCTACAAACTTACCCCTTTAAAGTTGTACATGAGGACACAAGATGTAGATTTTTCAATCTATGTTATAAAGTCAATGTTCTAAAGCTTTAAAGTTAATCTTACTCATTTCTAATCTCTGGCATGTGGAACACACTAAAGATTTTTCAAATTAATGCATGTCTGAGGACTCCAGGAACTAAATAGGAAATGTAATTTCTCCTGGCTTGGAGTCTCCACTATTGGTACCTTCCATACAGCTAGAACTCCTGCCCCTGTAGTGAGTTTGTTGACCTGAATGCTGATAACATTTCTACTTCCTCTTCTAGTTGGGTGGGTCAGAACCAACAACAGATTCATAAATAAACAAGGCTAGAAATCTGATGCTGAACTCTGAATGGTTTAGAACTTTCTGGACCAATCTTCTGGCCTTGAGGTAAGCCTTCATGTGACTAACAAGAACAGCAAATATATACAGAATGGGAAACTACAGCACACTTGACAGGGTGGAAGAGAAGTTAATTGAGCACAAAGTGGAATTTTCAGTTTAGACTAAGGTGTGTTACAGTCTACTGGTCGGCTGACATTAATGAAAGGAGCAACCTATTAATGTTGATAAGTAAATCTGAGCTTCTCTCTATAAGGCTACAATGAGGTCCTACTGTTTGAATTTCATAAGTCTCAGTGATACCTCGAAGGGCTGCCTCTAAATCAGATTAGGTGTCTAAAAGCCCTATGGTCTAGAACAGTGAAGTACACTTATGAGTGGACTACAAGTATCTTTAGAGATAACCCAACACTCTATCCCAGCCCACCCTCATAGCTGCCTCTCAGAGCATCATATTTTCCACTGATGCACTACAGATTCATAAATGTAGTGAAACACTGAAAACAATTGTTTCATTAAGACTTTTGAAAATTCCTCATGACACTACATCTATAAGACCTTGTCTTCAGCTGCTTCAACATTTCAAATTCTCTAAGACTTTCAGTACAGGCCTGCTAAATGCCTTTAATTCCAAAACATGTGTATTTTTCCCCTTCCAAGTTATTTCCTTACCAATGTGACCATGGAGCAGGGATGTCAGAGGTGGGAATAATTATATTGTCACAAAGATAATCACTTTTTTCTTCCAATGCTGGAAGAGCCAGAATGAGCCATGGCATCAGTCTAGGAGATAGAAGATTTATAACTACAGGTTTTTAAAGCTGCTAGTGGAAAATGAAGAGGGAGAAATGCATGGCAGGTGAATGCATTTGGGGTAGATTACACAACAGAACAAGAATAAATTACTATGTCTGTCAGAATAGATGGATCTAGAAATAGTTCAATCCTCAGGGCCAATGTGATCATAGCAATTTGTTTTTCCCTAAAGGTCTCAAGCTTATCTGTTTTTCCAGAAAGCAAAGCCGAACAAAACAAAACTTGGGAGGAATCCAAATGACCCATATTAAAAGAATAATATGGGAAATAATGTTAATACTACTTAATTCCAATTTCCCTGCTAAACCCATAGGCCAGTGTTGCTTGCATCAGACCTGCTTGCATCAGAATCACCCTGGAGGCTTTTCAAAACAACAAAAACAAGCAGACGAAAATCTACTTAATCATAACGGAATCTTCATCTAAAATAATCTCCCCCCATGATCTAGATTCACACCTGAAGTTAAATATGGTGATTTTGCCCTCAGCAATAAGGACTGGAAAGACAGGAGCTTGAGAAATGGTATTTTCATCTATTGAGTATTTCATTATTGAGTAGTTGCTGCCTCTCTTGACTCTCTTCACCTTTTACATATCAGCTGACAAGTCAGCAGGTACGCAGCTCTGATCCCAGAAAAGACCCCCCCCCCCCAAAGAGCATAAATTTGGTAAAGCCACCTCCTCATTGGCATCCCCTCTCCCCACTCCCACCCACCAGGCAAGGGAGCTTAAATCTCCAAACAGAAGGAGCAAAGCTGGAGGTCTTGGCTGGGAGATGCCACAGTTCTGTAGGTGAGGTCATAAGGATAAATGTGAATTTCAATGTTTCTCTTTTTCTTTCACGTGACATAGAAAACTAGAATGCTGAGAGATAAAGAACTGAAACGTTGGAAAGAAGTACAAATATTGATTATGGATTTGGGGTTGGCAACTTATTGATCCCTATCTTCACTGCTGAAAATGGCTCTTCACCACACATGCTTTCCAGGAGTTTTTGAAGCTGAGCTCAAGAGGTTTCTCTGCTATGCTTCCAACGTCTTTGCAAATGGCCAAGCACATACCCCCTACAGTTATTGCCCCCTATTCAACTTGAGCAGCTTTATCTGTTTTACACAGTAACCTTCTGTTTCAGATTATACTTAAAGGGTTTCACTGTATGCACCTAATTCAGGTTTTGAAAACCATTTCGGTTTTAGGAGTCGCAGTTCTATTCTAAGTAACAGTGCCAACCCTGTACCACGTTTATTGTAACTCTGTCTAAGCCAGAGCACTGGTAGAATTTTGCCCATAAAAAAGAGAAGGTGTGCTTTCTCCCTTGCAGGATAAGTGTGATGTTGAACAAGATAAACCTGAAAATTACTCAGAAATTAACATTGTGTATTGTTATAACCACGCATCAATAGACTCCATTTTAGATTGTGGTTGTAGGGTGTTAGCAGATTTGAACCCCATTTGCTTGGTTGACTAATCTACCCCCTGGTAAAACAGGTTCTTCTAGTTTTCCTGTGTAGAGAAGAGGTAAAGAGAAATGAATGCATTTAATCATTTTTTTTAAAAGATCATTCAGTTTACTGTGTGGAGAACAGATTATTTGGTGGGAAGTTACTAACAACAGGGAAGCCAGTAAGGCCGTTAGTACCATAATCCAGACAAGAGGTAAAAACCCAGCCTTCGAAGAAAAGTTATAGACATAAACAAGTCTGACAAAGATGCCTAATGGATCTCCTTTGCCACACCAGAAGAGAAGGGGCATAGTGCAGCACATAGACAATAGAACAAGACTGCCTTGGTTCAAATGCCAGTTTGGGTCATTATAGGACTTTGAACAAGTTACTTGATTCTGACATCTGTTTTCTTAGGAGGCTAAAAGTAGAACCCACCTCGGAAAATTGTCAGGAATAAAGGAATAAGTGCAGGTGAAATGTTTAGAATAGTTCCCACCAGGCAGTAAGTTTTTGCCTGGCACATGAAAGGTCTAAATGGGGCCCCTAGAGGGCAGCAGAGGAAAAAGAACAAAAGTGAAAGCTCAAAGAGCCAGATTCACATTAGTTAGCAAGGAAAATATACCATCTGATGAGATAAAACCACGGACAAGCCTTCTATGAACCATGCAACATGGAGGCTGAGCTCAAGATCACATATAGCCTGCTATTTGTTCTTGCTAATAAAGATATTAGTATAGGCAAAAGCAGTGACGCAAGCCAAGTCTGGTAATGAGAAGGATCCAGGCATTCATCTGAGAACACACTTCCAAATGGCTTACTCACACAGCCAGCAAGTTGACGCCGGCTGTTGGCTGGGAGCTCAGCTGAGGCCCACTTCTTCTGAGCTTCTCAGTGCAATCGAACGTGCTTCCTACCTTTGGAGAATTGCCCACCTCCTTTGCAGCTAGGACACTGGGCTCTAACACAGGCCCTGACAATCACACACACCTGAGCAAGTTTTTGAATCAGAAGCATGTGTTGCAGAGAAACAAGTGCCATCTGGGGTCCATCCTGGTAAGAATGGCAGCAGGTAAATCAGATTCCGGAGGAAGGGATGGCCAAGGTCACACACCAGCCAGGACGCAGCACCAGCAACGTGTGCATGCCTGGCAGAAGCAACAGAGCCATTTCTACCAGAGCAGTTTTTCAGTGTGATTCTGGGCACTGGTCCTGGCCAGGGCCTCCCAACCTGGTTTCTGGCCTTCTGGGAAATCAATTCCTTGTCTGCTCACACTAAATTTCAATTAGTAGCAATTAAGGACTCCGACAGAGACAAGTAGGGTGTTTGTTCCCAGTCTGCCCCAGGTCTGACACCTCTGGAGAAAGGAACCGGAAGCCAGAATGGCAGAAATTATTTCAATAAGCAATTTTGTGACGCTTAGTGTCTGAACAACAGTACTTCGTTCGCCAGGTAGACAAAGTTCTACACTGAGCCGGAACATGACCCCTTGCCCACTTTTCCCTGGAATGCAGCAGAGTCCTGGCACCAAGGGGGCTCTGGGGAAATAGTCTTCAAACATCTGTTAGAAGTTCAAATTCTAAAAAAAAAAAAAAATTGTTCAAATTCTTCTTTAGTGAAATCAACATAGAGACCCCTTATGAACTGGATAAAAGTGGACTGCTTTGGTTGAGGTGGGACGTGGAGCTCACTGAGGGCCCTAGTAGATCCCTACACCCACTCTGAAGTCAATCTGCAGGACTCAATGATGGTGCCCGACAGGGAGGCTCACTGAGTCTGTGACACTGCCAGTAAGGGTATGAGCCCCACGTTTGGGAGAATCTCCTGAAAGGACACCTGGCAGGTGCATGCCAGAAAAGCTGCAGGTCCCAGGTGAGCATATTTATCTCTGAACACATTCTCTGAGGGCCCCCAGAAAGCTGGTGGGGAGGAAACTTTGCAGGGACTTCAGGTCTTGTTTCAGAAATTGGAGAGAATTAACCAGAGGGATTTGAATAGTACACAACTAGTATCTTTTCTAATGCAATCTAATAAGGAAGCCTGGAGAAATTTTGGTTACACACCTTTTTAGTCAGCTATATCTTATTAATGGTACATTATGCACATTCAAGGTAAGTTGCCTTAAACCTTAGTAAACTCGTTCATTAATTTCTGTTGTAAACTCAGCCTTGTGGGAGAGCAACTTAAGTTAATCATGATTCCTCTCTGCCTTGATCTCCAAGGCTCATCCATGCCCTTCCATCCACCCCACTGCAAGGACCTCTGACATTTCTCAGAGCCCCAGGCATCTCCTAGCACCACCTTCTCTGGATTCAATCTTTGCCTGCTGGATTGGATGTCCTTACATCACCTTAGCTGCCTTTTAAAACAAATCCCTATGGGTATTAGAATGGAAAGATATGAGCATGGGAGAAACGTGGGGCTCATACCCTTACTGGCAGTGAGATTTCAGGAAAGTTGTCTAATCTCTCTGAGCATCCAAATGGATATAATAACCTTGTTATGAGATAAGGTATCTGAAGTGATACCTGGACCTAGAAGTTATACAAAAACGTTACCCACTTTAATGAGGGCATTTATATTCTCAAGAGCACACTCACCATCCAGGTTTGGCCCTCTCGCTGCCTTGGTCTCCCAGTCTGACAGCCAGGACCAGGTGACAGCAGATCCCAGACACTTCAAAGACATTACATCAAGAAGATCTAATGCAAATCCAAAAAGAACAGAAGAGTCTAAACGAGGAAGTTTGCCCAACTGAAGAAATGTCCAAAATGTAGCCATTAAGACAGAGTTGGGGGATCAGAAGCTTGGCAAATTGCTTATAGGACACAAACACACAAAAGACAAGATAAAGCATTTTGGATGAATCTGGGGTGATCATAGGTCACTATTTTTCCCCAGAGACAATCCTGATTTATCCTCATTGCCCCAAATAACTACCAATACCACCTTGCTTCACTCTCAAGAGAGGCCCAGTTTGGATGAGGAATTGTATGCTCATAATGCAGGCAGGCTTAAGGGGCACACAATGATCTAGTTAAGGAGGTGAGTTGGAAACCAGACAGGGTAACTCCAGGGGCAGTAAGCTACTGGAGGTATAAAGACCTTAATGCCTCAGCCAGGAAGGCTCTTAACAGGATTCCTTCAGTAATAGGAACTAGAGGCTATAACTAGACACAACCTCCAAGTGTAAGCTGATGAGCCACAATCAAAAGTAGAAGACGGGCAAAACGTCT